TTCCCTCCCCCACATAAACGCGATCACATTTACTAGTTTGAAGGATTAACTTCTCTTTCAGTGGTCCTCATAGTAATTCTCTTTCCCGTTCCTCATCCCAATATGCAACAGTAATGACTGAAACACTGTATCAGGTCTTTTGCTCTGATTAATGGTTACAATTTAAATTGCCTTATTTTTCAGGATTAAACTCATATTGAAATCAAGTGATTTACCTGATCTATCATTTCTTGGGTTTTAGAGACTTTTTTTGAACTATAAGCCTTTTTATGTAGAAAACTAGAAATCTTTTTATATAAATTGTGCAGAAAAGAGACATTGCAGTGCAAATCTCTAAAGAGATACTTGTTAATACTTGTACTACTAAAACCAGTATTGGACTATACAGTCAAAACAATAGTTATTTTTAGTAAAGCTTACACTGGGGAACTCTTTTGCTGTGGAAAGCTTACTGTTCAATAAACGTTGCCTTAGAGCCATGAAGTATGAAAGAGGGCCTAAGTATATGACTTATATATTATATAGTAACAGAGCTACCATCGAAAGTTTCTTGTTATTAGATCTTATTATTTGTCAGGAAAATAAAAGCCATAATAATCATGCTATCACAGGCAACAATTCAGAAGTGAATTCCCAAGCACGGCTGTAAAACAACCACAAATTTACTCCCAAGTAATCAGATCTCCCAACAACTTCACCTTCAGGCATCTGAAACAGTTTAACAACAACTTACCTCAATTATCTGGTGTTTTCAAGGATTTCCTGTGACTCATTGCTTTCTGGGCAAGAGCAGAGATAAATTACGAATCTTGTCTGTACTACCAAAACCATTTAGAACTCTCACTCAGACTCCACTGCAATGTCAGTCTAGTTCTAATTTTAACCTATGCTGAGAATAGAAGGTATCACATGAGGCGCTTCTGCAGACCCCCAAAGCATTTACCACTCCTAATGTCTTCCCAGTTTGCTGAATGTGACTGGGCTCCCATTAACAAAAGTTACAAATTGTGAACAAAAAGAACAAAGGAGCACTTGTTATGCTCCACAATGAAAAATAAGCTAGTTTTGCACTCAAAATGGCAATTACTTGCTATACTCCAGTATTATTTCTCTGCAAGATAACTGAGCTTCAAAGTGCTATTAGACAGCAACATCGACTAATTAGATTAGAAAAAGTATTACATCACTAAGTATTTTACTCATTGCTTTTGCCCATGCTGAAGAATTCTCTCGTTGAGGAATTTTAGTGCAAATTATCGAAGCCCAGACAGAAAGGTAGTGTTTACCAGGATGCGCAGAGGGGTTATTATTGACCCCTTCTCATGCTTCCAACCATGAAACATTTTTAACATTCTATTTCTTCAGGGATCCCTTGGAGAAGATAAAAGGAGAGCAAGTCTGTCAGAATCTTTTCCTTCACCCAAATGGAAAGAGGAGACAGCAATAATCACAGGTCACTATTTGAGGCAAAAGCCATAAAAACTGCATGATTCTAACCAATTCTTGCACTGGAGTATAAACTGTGAAGATGAAATTTCAAAAATACCATTCCTTTGGTTATAACCCTCTTTCAGTAGAAATAATTTTTCCTCATTATTAGCCTTGGACCCTAGCATTACCACATAGAAGTTTATAGTCAAAAAACCCCCTCTCCAGTCTGTGACCAATTAACTACCTGACTACCAACACCTATTTAAAAGACACTAACTGCTTTAGCTTTCAACCTTCTAAGCTTTTTTTTCTTTTTTTAAAGATATGCAAAAGCAAAAATCATCCAACAGGTTCTTTGGTATAAGTATTTCTTCTTTCAGTTTTGGTATACATTCAATCTCCACAGTATTTTTTTAATCGATGTCTTTTCTTGATCTAAAAAAGTCGTAACTAAAAACTTAACTAATTCATTTCCTCCTCCTTAACAGAGAGATATAATTAGAGCTAGGAAAAAAAAAATAACCTTCCCTTTTATTGGAGTTTTGAGAGACAAAGAAATTTCAGGCTCCTTGTGTGAGCAAAATCTATTTTGTCTCAAACATTTCAAAATTGCTTTCCTGCTTTCTGTCATACACTTCTATTTCCTCAATTTATTTTCTCCCTGGTCATCAGACTAAAAAATATACTGTTCAGACTAAGCCCTTACCACAATTTATTTGTAGGAAAGTAGCCATTAGGCTGTGTTCTTTTGGTAGTCTTGAGTGCAGTAGGTTCTTTAAGATCAGAAGAAACAGAAGTTTGAGTCACCTGTACAGGATTGCCTGCATGAAATTCACAAATAGAAACAATATTACTACAATTCTTTGTGGCTTTATTATTATTTTTATTAGGAATAAATAAATCTGATAAAAATGAAATAGGTCATAAGCATGATATATTAGTCAAACTTTGTAAGAAGTGACCTACATATAAAAGACCCTTATACCACAATAGAAATATAAATAGCACCTTACACGTATGCTCCCATGCTCCCTCCCCGGTATTACCAGCTTTTCTCTTGCTCAGTCTCAGCATCAAGGATAGCAGAGGTTCTACCACTGGTAGCTTGCGTCTTGCACCTTCGCAGCTAAATGCAATAGACAACTTGGTCTACAGTTTTGGAGAATGCTCCTGTAGAGGCAGTTTTTGATATATCTAAAGAAAGGAGAAAATGTCCATTTTGTGCCTCACACATTCATTTTTAAGGCCATGTAACTGTCTTGTCTTGTGTTTCTTTGCAACTTATGGTTCTAGAGGTATTTATATCCAACAGTTTTCTTCATATCTCCTTTTAAATAACCAGTGCCATTCCTCATCATCCGTTTAGTTTACCTTAAAGCCACGTAACTGTTGTCTGTTCTGAAGGCATTAACTTGAACCTATTCATTATGTGCCTCGTAACCAAACTTAAAAAGTCCTTATCTCTCACAGTATTTTTTTAATGTTAATTCTTTGGCCTATCTGATTAATCTGACAAATTCCAGTGTCTGAACATCAATAACTCAAGGTGATGCAAGCTTTTAGAACACATTCTGCTTACCATCAGGCTTACCTAATGACAGAATAACAAATGAGATCCTCCTTTTTTTCTTTTTTTTTTTTTTAACAGACAGATGCTTTCTATAAGGAACAAAAATATCTAGAAACTTATTTAAGGATGGCAACTACTTCCAGCCTATAAAAATACAGGATATTCTAGAGAGTATTAAGGCCCTGATAGTTATTGATAAATGTTATCAGTAAGCATTTGAATAAATAAGACCTCTTCATTTATAGGATGATAAAGAGTACCTGTGCAAGTAATTGCCAGGAGAATGTGGAGTAGCAAAAGACTTGAGAGGTTTACTCAGTTAAACAACAAAAAGCTCTCTGGACATCTTACAGCAGAAGCATAAAAGGCATTTTATTTGTATATGATTTTTGCATAACTCCTTTTGCGAGTTTGGCTATTATTTGTTAAAATAAATTTACGTGTCCAACAAGGAAGAACTTTGAGTATTGCCCTTCAAAACAGGTTAATTGGATTATAAATACTGCAGATGTAGATAAGTGCCATTCAGTCATACCAGCCTTGCAACCGTATATATTATAAAAGGCAAAATAAAGACATTCCATCACCAGATTCAGAAGGCGCGTCATGACCTATTAAGTTTGACAGTCTGCTGTAGAAGAAATTACAGCACTGCTAATTAAAAGAAGTAACAACTAATTGATAGACTGATAGCAGCTGTTGAGAACTTTTAACCATATAAAATAATTATATAATGTGAGTAGCAAAGGGCACGTGCTAGCAGAGCCAGCTTTTATAATTATTCAGTCTAATCCACAGAGTGTAAAGGCATGTTCTAGCCATGGTTTCCTTTATTTAAGGTCTAGCAGCATCGAAGCCGGGTTCTCCAAGTAAGATTTCCACAAGTTAGAAAACCGGGCCATTGTAGCTCCATCAATGATGCGGTGATCAGCTGACCAACTCACATTCATTATCTGTGCTTTAAATACTTCACCATTTCCATTAAACCGAGGAAGAACCTAAAAATCAGAGGAAGTAAAAAAATAGAAATATTAAATATTTTCATTAACAATCGCTATTTTTCATTGTCAATTTGTCAATCGAAATTTAAACATTTTGCTAAATTAGAGAGACAGCAGTGGTGCTATTCAAAAAACAAAGACCTTCCCATTATTGTTTGTGCTGCGGATTAGACTATATTGCAAACCTACATAATAAACAGTCCTATCCCGTTTCCACCATCATGGAAATACTGAACTAGCAAAAACCCTCCTTGACTCAGAAGTTTCTTTGTGAATAGTTTATTGCACTGTTAGTGCTCAAAGCGACAGTTTCCTTAAAGCATTCCCTAAACAAGAGGCTCTCCCAGGAAGAACATAGAAAAAGTATCTTAAATTAATACTAATTTCATTTCCAGCATTGATCTCAAATGTCTGTATTAGAGAAGTAAAGCCTGAAACAGAAAATATGAAACTGCCTTCATCATACAGAGTTCCATATGGATTCAGCTAACTGGTTCATGAAATTAAACTTCATTATCAGAATAGTTTTCTCCTTGATGATTGTAGCAATGCTATCGCCATGTTGCAAAACTTGTAAAAATACATTTACGTTGGTTCCTAATAGCTAGAAGTCTAAACAGAGATGAGAGTGAAATATAACAGAATTCTGGAAAACAAATCTGAACCTTTGGCATAAAAGACTTCCATTTCAACATTTGGTGTCCCTGCAGAGCTATCTAAAAACATCACAAAACTTGTCAATCACAAGCTATGCAGTTTCTGTTACATAAAGATGAAATGTATATGTAAGAAAAACAAAACAAACAGACACTCCACGTTTCCTTTTCATTACAGATGACCTTAGTTAGCTAGAGTTAAACACTCACATCACTGAGATAAAGTTAATATACCTGTATCTTTCCAAGTGCTCCAATAGCTACTTCAGGAGGTAGTATCACAGGTTTGGTGTAAGTGCCACCAATCTAGAAAAGAAAAAGCTGGGGATATTAACAATTTATTTTTTTTTAAAGCAGATTGCCTCTTGCATTAATTGCTACATGTTTTGCTCATTGCATATTAAACTTTACAAAGGTATTCATTTCAGAAGCAGTTTTCAGATGTAAGTTCTCATTTTTCCTGTACTTACTGTGCCAATATTTGAAAGGGTGAACGTGCCCCCAGTGAGGTCATTTGTTCCCAGTTGGCCTGCAGAGCCCAAGGACTGTAGGCGATTTAATTCAGAAGCAATCTCAAGCACACTACAAACTTGAACATTTTTCACATTTGGGACAATTAAACCTTGCTCTGTGTCCATAGCAACTCCAATGTTGTGCGAAGCCTGCAACACATTTAATTAACCCGACATTAACATAAGCAGTCAACATAAAACATATTTTATTTAAAAAAGCACTTGAAGAATGCCTTCTTTATATATCTTTTTAGCTTATAAAGTACTGCCTGTAGTAAGCAATTCCTTTTGAGGAGAGAAGGGTGTGTAAATTTTTAAATGTTAGCTTTCTACATCTGCAAAGTGCAAACTGATTTGGGCAATTTCACATCCAGGAAATACAAAATCATGGAATCAATTTCACACTGAAAATATTTCACTTTAGGATGATTAACATGTAAGAAAACATGACTAGCAGATTTTAAAGAGAACACTAAAATTAAAAACAAAAAAAAGGAAACTGAGTTGCCTTTCATTTGCTAGAAGAAATATATGAGGATTCATCTGAGACATATTGATAAAACAGCACAAAAGGAGTTTGTACTGCAAGGAATATGTAAACATCACCTAAGAAAATAGACACTGCCCCGGAGTATCAATGCAGCAACTTGTACGAAAATTACATAATTTTTATCAAAACTGAATTTAAAACATGACTTTAATACCTAAGGGTTGAGTGTTGGAACAGTGGAAGCACTGTGCCATTACTAAAAAATTACTGTATTAGATTTAAAATGTTCTCATTTTAAATGCTTGGCCCATCTTTGGGTGAAAAACAGGAAATCACTATATTAATATGCATTTTCGAGGCAAGCCTGAATAACAAAGTGACTCTCATTAAACAAACTACTAAAATAAGATCAATAATAAATCAAAACCAATCTTAGAATCTGGACACACAAATTATTTTCCAGCACATCATCATAATTTTGGTTCTTACAATTAGCTCAGACATCCTGAAAAGCCCTTGTTAGCTGTTAGTTTAGGTTTTCTAATCACAACTTTTATCAGCAGTTTACAAACCTTATACGTGACGTTTTGACAGCTTTCATCCAAAGAAGCATTAAGAATGGGATACTGCAATAAACCCAGAGAGGCTGCCTGTTAAATATGAAAGGAAAAAAAAAAAAAAGAAAGGTAAGATTTTTATGGTTTATAACCGGAGAGCATGAGAATGAAGGAATGGTGGGAGACAATTTAGATTAATAGCAAGATGGATTTCCTCAATGCAATCAAATTTGGCTCAAACTCTCCTAAACTTGTCTGTTGATATTCTATCATTATTGGGATAGCAGAAGAAAAAGATGACTTACAAAAACCAAACACAGAGCAGACAGACATATAAAAAGTGATAATCCCTTTCCCAAGTATAATTGAAGTTGAATCTGCATTTGTTACTTCTGTTCCACAATTCAAATCAAATATCCCAAGACAAAAGTTACGAGATTCAGCAGCAATGTCATTCTCAGCTCTCCACTTAGATGACAATTATTTCAAGGAAGTAACATTAATTCCCTCTAAAGAGAGTGAGCAGAACGAGTGCTTACTTAGCACTCTAATTGAAATAGCATTACCAGAACTTTCAGACTAAGCTATGCATTCAGTGTGTAGCTTAGGCAGTGCATCAGCCTTCACTGATGCCAACAGTTGGAAATGGAACCATGGCAACTAAACGAGTGCAAGTGCCTGGTCTTCTGAACAACAGAAGAGACACACTCATGCACCTGAACAACAGAAGAGACACACTCATTCATCTGAGGGATTCATTACCAACAAAAATATAGTAACAATAATAGTGATGCATTTCACGTGACGTTCATTTTAAGGAGCTCAAAAAAATACCGACAGTTTCAAAATTTGTTTTGTGTAATTCAAACACACAGTGGTGCTTACCCCCTTAATGAATAATGCTTTATCTGTTCTATCCTTCCCCACTAATATTTCAAAAATTTTCCATGATGTTCTATAACCCTAACTGTAGTTCCAACAGTAAATTCATAAGTGGTTCAATAAACAAGGAAACTTGAGACTTTTCTTGTGACCTGTAATTATTCAGATGACAGAGAGGTGCTCCAAACTTACAACAGTCACTGATCAGATTTTGGCAAAATCTGCGTATGTACTTCATACAGTGCTCTGCTGCACGTCTCACCTTTATGAAGAAAGGCATAAAGGAAAGCTTAACTCCACGAATTTGTGCTACAGGTTTCAGCTCTTCTCGCAACTGAACAAGCTGAGTCAAATCAATCTCATCACAATAACCAAAGTGAGGTATCTTCAGGGCTGCACTCATAGTCTTTACCATTGCCTTCTGAAAACCTGGAAAAGATTCACTGACTTCTTAAACCAATAAAATGAGCTTCTGGGAAGTTATGGTGAAATTTCAATTATTTGTTTCCACTAAACAAATTACCCAACTTAAAACCAAACCAAAACCCAACTACAACAAAAAAAGACAGGGTAAAGCTCGCTTTAGGAGCAACAGTTATTCAGCACATGCAACTCAATTTTTACAACTGTAATATTTCATATGATATTACTGCGTATCTTTCCTATCTATGTATGTATTTGAAATCATAATACAGCAGTCTGCACTACTCTTTCGAGCCTCTTCAAAGAAACGTTGCCTGAAAGGCAAGCAAAAACCTTTTATCTTCCTCTTTCACTGGCATTTTTCTTACCTTGGAGTCTTTTGTTGCACTCTTCTCCAAGTAAGTGTGAATGCTGAAGTACGCCATTATTAAGCACTGATAAACCCTTAAATTCACTGCACTTTGCCACTAATTGCATAATGATGCATACTGTGACAAATCCACATGCATTTCAGAATTCCTACCTGTTTCAGCATACATTTGAAGAAACACGGATTAAAAATGAGCAAGTGCAACTTGCAGGCCAACTCCATCCAACCAGAACATGAACAATTATCTCATAAAATAATAATTTCATACAACTCCTTCTTACAGACCACGTTTTCCTGTTGCTCACTTGCATGACAGTAACATGAAACACACTCCCATCAAACGGAATCAACTCTTCACTGAGTAACATTTACTGGTAGTCTACTGTGAACACGGTCTCAAGATTTTCTGTTTCACAATTTACCTGTTATAGGTTCAGTTTTATCTTTTCCTGAAAACACAATGGGTCTGGAAACAGGTACAGGAATTCTGCGTGCTTTGTCCTTTGGAGCAGCTGGCACAGTCTCCGATTTTGGCAAAGGTGGGATAATTTCAGCCTTTGGTGATGGAGGTAAAATAGCTCCTGTTTGTTTGGCCAAGTAATTGAGAATGTCTTCTTTAAGGATTCTGTTATCTTTCCCTGTTCCAACAACTTCACTCAATTTAATCTGTAAAGTACGTAACAAACCATGACACTTCCATCTTATAGCAACACCAAAATATCCTATATTGTGAGCTACAGTTAAAAATTATTCCAGTTACTGATCTAACATACCTACAGTTTTCTTCCCCTTCCTCCAATTTATTAGATACTCAACACTGTTCAAGCCATCCAGAAGGCCCACTAGCTGTCTAATTGCACACCTTAAGGAGGAACTATGAATACCACTTACCTCTTAATTATCTCACAGGATCAATAGTGAAAAACTGATTTGAGGAAAGCTATTTGTTACTTAATTTTCTCTAGTTATTGTTCTATTTTTCTCCTAAAAATGCACCACAAGCTTCAAAACCAATGGAATATTCATAGATTCACAGGAAAAAAGAATTAGAAAAGCACTTAAAAGATCACCAAGTACATCCTCCCCTCTAATACATATTTGAAAACCAGAACATGGCTAGCAGATTTTAAAGAGAACACTAAAATTTAAAAAAAAAAAAAAAAAAAGGAAACTGAGTTGCCTTTCATTTGCTAGAAGAAATATATGAGGATTCATCTGAGACATATTGATAAAACAGCACAAAAGGAGTTTGTACTGCAAGGAATATGTAAACATCACCTAAGAAAATAGACACTGCCCCGGAGCATCAATGCAGCAACTTGTACGAAAATTACATAATTTTTATATAAAACCAAAAGATTCCATTATTTTATCATTATTCTATCAATTTTATTTCCATTATTTTACCAAACCAAAGATTCCATTTTTCCCTCCTCTGTCCCAGGAATCTATTCTGATACTTTATTATCTTTGTTCTAAGATGGTTTTCTTCATCTCCAGCCTAAAGCATCCTAGCTGCATTTTAAGCCCAGTAATTCTTTTCCTACCCACCATAATCATCAGAAAGCACAATCCTCTTCAGCTTTACAACACTTTTGTACACATTTGAAACGTATTTGAAAACAAATCATTTCTCACTGCACTTTCCTCTAGAGCAGTGGTCTCCTAGTCAGTCAAACAAGTACATAGAAGACGGATAAAACGCAGCAGGACCTGATTCAGCAAACTTACGTTGTTCTCCATGGCCAGACGACGAACTGCAGGGGTTGCTAATGTTTTGTGACCTTTTATCTCTTGGTGAGTGTGCTCTTCATGAGACATGGGAGGTGTTTCAACAACATCTTCTTCTGGGGCAACACCTGCAAACAAAAAGAAAAATTTTAACTTTACCACTCTATAAGCATTTGTTAAATTCCAACCTCAGCCATTCTGTGATTCTGTGACAGCTGAAGTTTTTAACATTTACTTTGAACTACTGCGGATGGGAACATAGCATGCTAAAGGCTGCTGCTTAAGCTAAACTTCCAATAGGTAATGTCTGGCTTTTGAGATTTTAAATCCTAATAAAATATCACAGCTTTTTCTACTTAATTTTCTTGACTTTATAAAGGGAAAAAAAATAATTCAGTTTTAAGATTTTCAGGAAGAAGTGAACTCCTCTGTCACTGATGGCTTTATGATAACAAACTTAAAATATGCAAGAGAAGAAAACCGCTTACAGTACCTTTTGAAGCATCAATTTCAATGTCCACTAATGGTTTTCCAACATAAGCAATTTCATCTAAATTGTAATGGAGTTTTCTAATGATGCCATCATAACGACTAGTAATAGTAACGGAAGCTTTATCGCTTTGTACTTCACAGATGCTATCAAACTGAGACACGCTATCACCTTCTTTTACATACCTAAGAGAAAAGACACAGGCCAGCATAAAACATATCAAGCGTAAGAATCTACGCTGTGCATTCTTTTGGTAAGTTCAATTATGTACAACCCCACAACATAAAAATGCATTCCAGATAAGACAACAGATTGTACATAATGGATACATTTGCTATATACCTTTTGCCTGACTGCTCCAGAACCCTTTGTTGTGTGAAATGACACAATGATTTAGAACATCAGCCACCTAAAACCAAGAATGAGCCCAGCTTAGCCTGAACCTAAGGCAGTTCTTTGTTTCAGATTGCCAAGATCAGTGTACGATCAGTTTCAGAAAAGAAACTGGAAGTGGGAAACACTGTCTTCTGTGCAGAGAGAGGTATTTTTCACCTATTTGTACAAAGAACGAGGCATTTCAACAGTGCCTTCCTTCACTGAACACTTTGGTTTTGCTTAATCCATTCATTGTTGGCTTTTTGCAAACAAATGTTCAAAGCTTTTATTAAAATCAACAGGGAAGGGGTATAGGATAAAATGTTGTGGATTCTCCAGACTAGTCTATTGTTCCTAAAGTTCAGCCTAAGTAAGTATAATAAAAGACAGACCTCCTGCTCTCTGAAAACTTTAATTGCTGAAGGAAAGCCTATCTACAGGTGCAGTTAGGGCATCCCATTCCTTCCATCTTTTTCACTCCCAAATAAACAAAACGTAAAACCCAGTATATATAAGGTTTTAAAATGTGGAAAATGAAACTTGGAAAACTTCAGTGGTAACCCAGAAAACATATTCTCAGATAAACAACTGATAATACAGCTGTTAAACTACTTGCTGATTTCTTAGTGTATTTCCAAGAAAGCAGAGCTTACCATTCTTTCACAGTCACCTCCGTGATCCCTTCTCCAATGTCAGAAAGCTTAAACTGGACAATTTGGCCACATGAAACTTAAAAAAGACAATAAGGAAATACAGCATGTCTAATATTAAATACAAGATATCAGACAGAAAAAAACTGAATGCATCAAAAATAGTCTAATACCAGTCTAATACAAACTGCTAATGTAACACTCATAACATAACAAAATAAAATAAATTATTTTATTATGAAAAAGATTACCAGCAGATGTTCTGAATAATCGCTGTTGATGACTAAACTTGAGGGCAGATTTGTCAAACACGCACACATATTTTGATTTTATAAAGCGAATGCTGCTGCACGATCTAACGCGGTGAATGCAAACCTGGGGGAGAAAAGTCTCAAGTGTTAGTATAATGGACTGAGGAATGTAGAGCTCATTTATTATTCCTGATGTAAAAATAATACTAAAATAGTTTAAGTCTAGTTTATATAAGAGAAGTTCTTATGGAAACACAGTTATACTGAATACATACTGAATGTACAATAACCATTAAATTAGCATAAGCTTTGCCGGGTCTTTAACTTCTTTCACTAACACAACACATGGGGAGATCAAAGCCACAATAACATAACCAATTAACAAAAATCATGACAAGATCTGATAAAAGATTCATACTTGCTATTGTTTCTCTAAGCAATTAGTTTAATCAGGACACACACACAAAAAGCATACATAATATCAACGACATCAGCCATCTGAAATATTCTCATCCAGAATGGACGCTGGAAGGGTCTCCTAGGCTGCAGGAAAAATCAGCATATTTTTCTTTATTCCAATCAAAGGTTGATCAGAAGTACTAATTGGAAAGGAAATTCACACCAGAGGGCACGGACAGTTGCCCTTTTATTTCTGTTAATATATAGGAGGCAATCATCTTCAAGTACATATCATTTCACATCAGCTTTAATGACATTTTTTCAGAACTGGGCACGAGATGGTTTTCTTTCATGGTTACAGTTATATTCATCCAGAAATCAACTTGAAGGGTCAATGGAATTTTCTGAAGGGTTCTTCAGACAAAACCTTATGATTTAAAACATCACATAATCAGTCATGATTTTGGTCAAAAGCAAAGCCAGTAGCACTTGCATTGACATAAACAGGCGCTTTATCATTAATCTCAACAGAAGTTAGTTCAGACCCTTTCTTATTTAGTAAGATTTCTTAAATCTAATGTAATTCTGGTGTTATGTTGTCTTAGAGTGCTGTAAAATTAATAAAAATAACAATTTATCTGTAGATACCATCTCTAATTAATTTAGAGATATGAAAAAAAATTCAGGTGCTACAATGTACCTCAAGTAGCTCAAAACTGTAAAATTTAGAAATTATCTTCTTAGTGGAGCCAGAAAACAGCGCACCTGCATGGGAAAGTTAATTTTAACTTCTTTTTTTAAAAATTCCTTTCAGTAATTACAAAGCGTATAGAACTTCCTGGTTGCCCTCCCTGCCCCCCAAACCATTAATTTAAAATCTAGATTATTCAGAAAACCGTACAATTCTGAACTGACGATGCACACATTTTCTGTATTAGTTAATCTAGCATTGCAAGTTATATTTAATATCACCCTTCTTTTAGGAACAAATATTTATACAATACAATCTACCATAGAGGACACACCAAAGTTACACTGAGTTACTTTCCAGCTGCCTGCTACTCAGATTGTAGCTACTGAGGAGGTATTTTTCTAATTCCTACACTGAGCAAACAGTAAATCCTTTTCATTAGCCCTTCAATTTTCCCTATGAAAAAAAATCAGGTAAATTGGTAATTTTAAGCTATGACAAACCTTATTTTATGAACACATATAAAATTCTCATTCAACTACAAAACTGGTACATAAAGTACAACTTCACAAGCCTATTTTCTCCTATTTTTAATTCTGTTTTTCTTCCCACTTAAGTCCAAGGTTACATTTTTTTTTGTCCAACAAGATCTTTGTGTCCCAAACTTGCAATAAAACTCTTTTCTCTTTATATGACCCTACATGGAAAACATTCAATATTTACCTGTGAAGATGATCACAAGGAGCACATCAAATCTCTGAACTATTTCTAAATGTGAAGTTTCATAATGCTTTCCATGTGTTTTTGGCATTTGGTAATCAGTGCAGGTAGTGAGTTAGTAATGTCACTGCCAAAAAAACAGACTGGTTTTGTTACAGAAGAGTTTCAGTAATGTTTCAAACTATATTTGTAGGAATAATTCAAAACTACTGAATTTTACAAAAATGGAATCTTTTTGGTTTGAAGTTTTGCATATTCTCTACTAAAAAGTTGGTGTGCTAGTGTGTTAAAGCAATAATACAGTACCCAATCTCTTCCTAGAACAGTCTTCCTTTCTAACAAGGGGAAAAATTAAAATCCATGAAATGAATGAGGCTGTGCTTACTAATTTCAGTATTTAATCACCATAATGCTATTTTCTGTGTGATGCCTAACGAAGAAATAACAAAAGCGTATAAAAGGCAAAATTAGTTCTAATATCGATAGCATCTACGTATCTTGATGTCTGGAAAAATACCATAATAGCACAGCAGCAGTTATGTTGATGCCACCACTGTTACGCTCTATGACAATTTAAAGGCAGCGATGCCACAGTAAGATAACACCTTGCCTGTTGAAGTCTTCAAAGTGCGGAGTTACTGTGGTGAGAAGAAACCGAGGGCTCCCTCCAGCCTCTCACTGATACTGGGGGCAGATCAGCCAGTGGCATCTGGTTGACTGGGACTCGTGGTTTGAACCCAGACAGCATGGGAGCTGTATGCTCTGGGAGGGAGAACTGTCTTGCCCCTCTTTAGTTCACTTTTGGCTGTTTCCTTAAAAAGAAGCCAACCATGCTTTTCTATACCGCCACTGATCCTAAAAATCTGCTGCTGGCCTCAGAACAAAATGTTTTTATGCAGCCTGTAGGCAACCGATTACCTGATGAAGTAACACTGAGTTTCAAAGTCAAACTGAATAGTTTGCGCTCAAAGGCAATGACTTCTCATTAAAGGATACTCCTCTATAGAACTCCCTCGACTTGCTGTCACGGAGTCGTTTTAATGAACATTTACTTACATTGGGTTTGTTTTGCATACATCCTCTATATCTCCAAGTATATAGGTGCCTATATGTTAAACCAATATCCCCGGGAGCATGTTCCAGCGAGACGTTATCCCTCACCTACATAACTGGCACCACATCCCAGTGCCTCGGCAACTGTTGCTTCCCTACTGCTTAACACAAAACCCCCCCAGGCTCTTTTCTTCTTCACAACTTACAGCCCCCATGGACAACCACCATTACTTTGTCCTTTGTCCTTCCTCGTGCTAGCATTAAGAATATTAAAATAAGGCCGTTTAATATTACAATAACCATATTATTTCTTGGATCTTATCACTATTTCACAGTAGACGGCCCTGAGAAGAATTAGTATCTAGCAAAACTCAGAATGTGCTTGCAGGAAACAGATGCTACAAATTGCCCATTCTGTAGTTCAGCATGCACATAGATGAGCATTTTCATCTTATCAGAATCTCCCTCTGGATTTAAGAGTAGATGGTTTAATTAGAAAGAAAACTAAAAAAAAAAAGCTGCTATTTTCAATTTTTTTGATTAGTAAAATTACTCATATGTAGCCTAAAACCAGATAATTACAAAAGTATCGCTGAAAAAATTCCTCACTATTATGCTTCCAAAATACAGCATGAGTTGTTATTATGACCAAAAATAACAATAGAAACTAAAATTGATCCTTGGTTTTCTTTTCACTTGGATTATCTTACAAAAAGACGTTTCTTTTTCTGACACTCCCCAAAACAGCAGGGGCGTCATTGGAAACCCAACACTCTTCACTACAGCAGGAAGACCACAACGCGAGAAGGCTGAAGCAAGCATGAAGCCTTCATGATGGCATATGCCTGGGAGATTATAGAATCATAGAATCATAGAATGTTTAGGGTTGGAAGGGACCACTAGTGGTCATCTAGTCCAACCCCCCTGCAGTGAGCAGGGACACCGCTAACTAGATCAGGTTGCTCAGAGCCCCATCCAACCTGGCCTTGAATGTTCCCAGGGATGGGGCCTCCACCACCTCTCTGGGCAACCTGTTCCAGTGTTTCACCACCCTCATTGTAAAAAATTTCTTCCTTACCTCTAGCCTGAACCTACCCTGTTCTAGTTTAAAACCATTTCCCCTTGTCCTAACACAGCTGGCCCTA